AATTTCTATCATTTATACTGTTTGAAGAAGTCTTCTTAATTAGTTTTCCCCATATAATATCACCACCATAAGCTATCTTGCTGTTTTTCTTTTAACAGCTAATTAGTATCTGTCACTTGGTAGTATTTTGTTCTTTTGAGGAAGTTCAGTTCTGATACTGTCTGTAGTTTAATGAATTTGCTTGCATATTAGCTGAGTGGTGGAACATGGAGTCATAGAAAGTATGGACGGAGTTGTCATAAATGTAATGACCTTCCTTGCTTTTCTGCTGCCCATTGTTTCTTTCCACATGCCTAATATGTGGGCACAGAAATGGTGACTTTCCTAAAGCCCTTCCTGAATCTCAGTTCCCTCTGGAGGGACTGAAGGAGCAGACCCATCTTTGAGTTCCAGCTGGTGAGCACTTGTAAACTTCCTTTATTTTGTATCTACACTGACACTTTAGTATGGAACAAAATGAGTTAGGATATTAACAAGGTATTCTTGTGGCTAAAAAGAAAACTTCACACGGTTCATCACTGATAGAGCATTTATGTTAACTGTCATGTGGTGCAACAGTATATATACTGCAGCTTTAATGTCTCTGTTCCAACTTGAGCATTTCAGTTGGAGATTTTATCATTTTGAAGCTGTACAATGTTATGAACCAAAAACAGTAAATTAGGCTAAGATACTTGGATGCCTGAGGATGGTGAATGCACAGTAATGTATTAGATTATTCTAATAAAGTGGCAAGAAAATTTGTTTTAGGTGGACTCAGGTGGATGTTGCGATTGCCAGTACAGGTTTTGGAAAGGAAGGAGTTTTGGTTTAGTCTTGAAATATGGCAGGGGGGAAAGGAGGGAAACTAGGTGGTTTATTAGAGCAGTTTGATCCTTAGTTAACTCAAAATTGGGACTTTTTATACTTACAGAATTGAAGTGTTGTTAATGGAGATGCTAATTAAATGTGATAATTGCTAGAGAAAGTTGACTATATTGCAAAATGGATTATTCTTATTTCAGCCTATGTTAAATCTGTTTTTCAAGTCCATCATAGTTTTGATCCCTTGTTACAGTTCAAAGTGTCTTGGATTCAGCAATTGGACAACTTTCAAAAACATTAAAATGAGTCCTAGTGTAACAGAATCTCAAATCTGTAGTAGGCATTAAGTCTATTTTGAATTGGTTCCCAGACTCTTGCTCTTTGTGCTTTCTGGTGATTTTCATGCATTAGTAAGGAAGATGAGATTTTTGTTGGAAAGACTAGGAGATAGCTGTGGTATTTTAACCTTGACTCTGACCTGCCCTTTGACTTGTTCATCACTAGGGAAGACTTGCTCACAATTGCACCACTACAGTATTATATTAGTGTAGGGCTGATGCCCTTGTTGGCCATCTTCCAGTTAGGAGTAGTTCTTTCCAGCTTTAACTGCTTTCAAAATAGTGATTAAACTGAGGAAACTCACTGTGATTGTGCAGTAAACTTTTCCATGGGGAGTTCTGAAACTGGAGTATTTCTATCACAATATAAATTTCCTTGTTGTGCATCAAAGATATATATATAAGCAATTGTTAAATCTGAAAATATGCTAATAAAGAGTACGAAAACAAGTCTTTGTTCCTCTTTCCTGAATAAAGTGCAGCTAGTAAGGAAGGTCTGACTGAGAGGAAAAGGTGATAAGTGCCATGAGGAACTGTCTCGGGACAGTTCCTAATCAGTTCCTAATCCCCTGTTTCTGGGGTATGGACTAGTCTTGGTGTGATCCTGTTCCCGTGATCTGCTTTGCCAGGTGTGCAGCTGGGAGATGCAGAGCTGGAGGCAAGTCACAGCCACCTTAAAATGGCTCGGGGTTAGGCTTTGCTAATTAGCATTCAAGTGAGGGGAACCCCCTTGTTTTTAGAGGTGGACCTCAGCTTGTGGGTTGCTTTCTGAGCTTTTAAATATATTCAACAACTTTCCCAGACAATTTGAGCTGGCACTGCTTGCTTGGCGGAGTTGTCAGATTCCTAGATGACTGCTGTGCATGGATTTAACCACATATTAAAACCTTGCTGCCTCAGTATAAAAAAGGTAATTTGGGAATATGGTCTTCATGTTTACATGCAGTGTTTAAGCATTTAACTTGTTTGAAGTGCCTAAAATTCTTGTTCTCCAGAGTATCATCAGCTTTGGTCTTGTAAGCTTTCTAACAGCAAACAGCAGTTCAGCAGTCCTTTAGTGTGCTCGTTCCTGAAGTTTTGGTACAGATCCAAACATAAAGTGGTATTAACTGTAAAACAGAATGCAGGTATGGGTGGTGAACCCACACCTGTAATTACCCTAAGTGCCCCAGGCATCATCAGTGTGTATTTCTGGCCAGCCCTGTAACTGCCCATGTTGCTCGTCCTGGTGACCCGAGGCAGTCGGCGTTGCTGGAGCAGCCATGATCAGTTTTTATGCAGCTGATGCCGGCTCAGGTAGGACAGGATTCCTGATGGATGGAGCATGTGGGTGGACAGTCTGGGAGGACTGCAGCTCAGAGGCCCAGGGCCCCTTCTGAAGAAGCTGCTGCACAGTAGGTGTTCTCCTATCGGGGCCAGCTGGAGGTGGGTGTGACTTGCTGCAGCTGCTCAGATACTCTGCAGAGTGCTTTGGTGACTCAGTACTGGGGCTGGGCACAGTGTGAATGGGGGCATGCTGCTGAGCTGATACACCGTGTGGGGTTTGGAAGTCTGCACGGTGAATTTGAGGGGTTTGTTTATGGGTTGGATAGAATTGGCTTTACAATATTTTGTTGATATAATAGGTTGTTGTTGGCTCTTTCTCATGTTTGGAAAATGCCTGTTAGATTAGCTTCATGGTGGCGATGTATTTAGGCCACTACACTATTTAAAAATCACCATGTACATCTTGGACATGCTGAACAAAATGTAGTGATACTACATCCATGGGATTACAGTAAATGAAATGCATTGGTGCTTTCTGGTGTTTTGAAGGGACTGTTCAAACATAGCCATCTGGTAAATTTTCATCTCACTTTTTTCCTTGAAAAAGTGAGATGATTTCACCTCATAGCAGAAATTAATCAAAATACATCCGTGTTGAACAACCTACAAAAATACATTAAGAAATTGTAATGATTTTTATCTCTCTAGAAGGTTATAGTAAATAAAGAGTAAAAGAATGGCTAATACAAAAATATTAAACAAATATTTAACTGCATAATCGGTGTCTAAAAAAAATTGAGACTGTTGGTGTAACTGAGGAGTACAGCTTTGTAATTATGATATACTACTTCTATCTAGGGGAATCAAATGCATCCATAAATGGTTTTTTGTTGTTGTTGCTAGGCATGCACATGACAAGTGTGTGATGGTTGTAAGTATTGATTTGACAAGCCTAACTTGCCCCCATACTAAGTCATTCTGATTGAGCATGGAAGATACTTTTGGTGTAGGGTTATGGTCTAGCTTTTGAAAGACTGTATTTGAATATGAGACTTACTCTGTTTTCCTTATTTTTCCCCCTTATATCTTTTCAGAGAATAACATACGGTTTTAGCCAGCATAGTGTAGGGAAAGGTTTTGAGGTAGTGCTGGTTCGGGTTGCAGTAACTCATGTTTGTTCAAATTGACCTTTAACCTTTGCAGGGTACTAAACTGTTTGGTGGTGGTGTACCTCTTTGCTTTTGTGGTGGACTGTTTTTCTAACTTGCAGGGTTAAAGATGGGGAGAAAGAAGTTTGAAATAGTAATTTTGTCACTGCTTGTATAGTTAGAAGGCTCGAAAGACAGAATTTGCATTATAATGTGTCTCATTTTGCACCATACTGTGTCATTTAGTCATGTTCTCTGTGTGTAGCTCTCAGAAGACTTTGAAACAAATATTTTATTTTTTTATTGCTCCATTCACTCCTGCCTATCAGTCCTTTACTGTTCTGTACTATAATTGCCTATAAGATAAAGTCTTTGCCATTTTCAAATCACTTTGACTTCATATTCAGATTGCTACGAAATTTGTGAAGCTAGTGGTACTTCATGTAGTGCCCCTGGGTATTGAGAAATTTCTCAATAGGGAAATGGAAAATAAAAGCTGGGAGAGCGTTATATTTACAATATACAGGTTTTCCCCTGAAATATGTAAGAAAATTATTCTTCTTAGTTTGATATGATTTATGTGGACATTTAAAACCTAAAAAAAATCCCATCAAGAACAATGGAAGAGTTTTTACTTGCTTAGAGATTTTAGAGAAATGGGAGGCTTTAAGAGTAGGAAATTGAAAAGAAGATTGTACAGTGGAATGGGTGTCCTTGTTTCACTGTACATGGAACTGTTCAGGTGACTTGAGCTTAGGCACAAATACAGATCTAAAAGATGTTGAGAATTATGTCCTTTCTCGTTTCAGCTGCTCAAGTGTTTTCACATTGAGGAAAACCAAGTTGCCTTGAAGAGAGCTGGTAGGGATGCCAGAAGCAGGTGGCAGTTTGGGAAGTGCTGCTTTTGGTGTTCTAGATGTCAGTACATTTATTGCAGGAAAATTTAGTCTGCTCGTAGGCATAAGCAGAAATAATTACCTAGAACTAATAACAGGTAGTCTCAAAAGAAAAAAGCATTACTTCAGTAAACTTAAAACCTGATTTTCTGCATCTAACCATGTAGGCTGTTGATAAGCTTATTTAAATTTTCTGATCTAATGTTGAGGAGAAAACGTCTTTTAATTTCTCAATTGGCATGTTAGGACTCTTAAAAACATCAAAATTATAAGGGCTGTTTGCTAGCAATAGATTAAAGTGAAAGTTAGACCAGTGAAGAGACATACTGCATTACTCTAATTATAAAATCTAAATGAGTTTTATGCTTCGTGAAAAACAAACATGCATGCGGTCTCTTGAAACACTTCTGCATCTGAACTATGCTGTGATCTGGGTTTTGGACAACTTGCCTTCTCCCCTCTTCTTTCACCTTCCACCTCCTTAGAATGCAGATGGTTGATTTCTTTAAAAGCATACATGGTGAATAGTCTTTTCTCTGTTCTTTCAGGGACCAGTTACTCTCCACAAGAAAATTCACACAACCACAGTGCTCTTCATAGTTCAAATTCACATTCTTCTAATCCCAGCAATAATCCAAGCAAAACTTCTGATGCAGTGAGTATTTGTGATTGATTTTTCAACCATGTGTTGCCCTGTATTTTCGTAATTTTGCCTAAGATAGGCAGCATATACATTGTGCTCGCGTTTTCCAACATCAGTCTTTATTTTATAAACACTCTGTAAACCCAACCTGCAGTTGTTATATGTTTTTAAAGTATTCTAATTGGTAATGATTAGAGCTTTGAGTTACCTGTCATTTATTTTAAAATATAACATTATTTAAATGACATAGATACAGAAATGTTTTTCATGAACTTTGTGGTAAATCTAGAGTGACAGTATGATTTTATTTATTTGAAATACATTACATATTACGAGTTTTAATCACTTCAGTATCAAAGTTTTAGTAGTTAGAGTGGTAGTTGTGAAAAATTGCCCAAACCCAAAATAGGTAAATTTGTGATCAGTAGAAAAAATTTGGAAAGACAGTAATTTTCAGGATGCTGTAAGGTGAAGGGAGCTAATGCTATCAGTATTGACCTTACTGTATCCCACTAAATGTACTATTAGATTTTGTTAAGGGGTTTAATGGGAATAAACCAGAAGAAACTATTGCAGAATGCAAACTGGAGGATATGTCATGTGTTCAAGCTGTCAATGAAACGGGCACTTAGAGGTGGTGGAAAGCAATGACATGGGTACATAAAAGGGTGACATTTAGTAGTTTTAAAAACAGTGAAAGCTATTAAATTTGTGTATTAAAACTCTCAAGTAGTCTTTTGTCCAACACTGTATTTTAAAGGCTTACGATTCTGCGGATGATTGGTCTGAACACATCAGCTCTTCGGGCAAAAAATACTACTACAACTGCCGAACAGAAGTTTCACAATGGGAAAAACCAAAAGAGTGGCTGGAAAGGTATATGTTTGTATTTGTTTGAATTGTATGAAGAACAAATATTCTTAAGCACGTTTCAGAGCAGTCGAGCTTATCTAATAGATTACTGCTATAAAAGATTGTGCTCCTAGTCTGCTGTGTTTCTACCCTTACCATGACCTCTGGTACCTCTTTTATCTCTTGACAGAGCCTGAGAGGGAAGTTGGTTTGTGTAGGGATGATGTTTTTGGGTTGTTGTTGTTAGGGGGACAAGGGGGTTGGTTGGTTTGTTTTTTTTGTTCTGGGGTTTATTTGTTTGTTTTAGCTGAGTTTTTGTTTTGGACTTTTTGAGTGTTGTTTTTAATGTTTTGTTTTGGCGTGGGTTTTGTTTTGGTTTGGTTTTTTTTTACATGAGTAGTAATCTCAACTGGTATATTATGGGCTTCAACAAGCATGGATGTAAAGAAGCAGTGTCTGGAGTTAGCAAACTCCACCTGTAGCAGCAAGCTCTTAACAGTTTATTCATCTCATGTAACTTACAGGAATTGTTATATTGTTGGATAATGTAAATTCTTACCTAGCTTTCATTTTCTTTTCTTCAGAGAGCAGAGACAAAAAGAAGCAAGCAAAATGTCAGTTAACAGTTTTCCAAAAGATAGGGATTACAGAAGAGAGGTGATGCAGGCGACAGCTGCCAGTGGGTTTGCCAGTGGAAGTATGTGGTTTTTTTTACAGCAATATATTCTTGCCTTGTTTGCATTACTGTTTTCTTTTCCAAACTTCAAAACTGTAAAACATCCCTTTCCTTAGCTCTTTTCCTCATTTTTTCATACATAAAAACCAAAGTGGGTAACACAGTTAACTCTCCCAAATGTTGTTTCTTTAAATAACTTTACTAGTGCAATATTTGCTTAATGCTTTTCATGGTGCTCCTCCTTTTTGTGGCTTTTATTGTCGAGTCTAATTATCTTCATGGGTAGTTACTTAAACAACTTGCATAATCTGTAGTTTAGTTGGACTGTCATGAGACCTGCTAATGTCATATTCTGACCTTAAAAATAAAGCTTTCACATCTAAAAATAATAACCTAAATCAATGGATTTTGATACCATGGTTTTCAGAGGCTTGTGTACCAATACTCTTAGCAAAATCATTCCTGGACTAGAAATTTCTGTAAATTGGAAATTTTTGTCCTGATACCTAGCTTTAATCTTTGGCAATTTTCTTTTGGAAAAGAGTTGTACTGTGAGATTCTGTCTGTATGCTGATGTAGTTTGGGTAAATTTGTATCATAGTTCTCATGGTGGTTTAAGAGTAGAAGCCCAAGTATTATTCTTCACCCACGCTCATTGGATTTGACAAGGTTCATACGTATAAAGGGGTATTTTTCTGTGTGCACTGAAACTTACTGCATATGCCAAAATATACTGGACGCAGCAAAAAGATAGTAGTCATGCATAATGCAGTGAGTATTTCTTTTGTGACAGGTGAAAATGTAGGAATCTATTCGCTGTGTTTACTTGGTATGCTCACTGAGTAGCATATTTTTAAGTCTTTGATCATGTGACCAGTGCAGATTAGTCATTCATTTAATATATATGTCTTGAATTAACTGTAAGTAAGCTTGTTGTAGTAGTACTCGAGTGACATGAAGAGGAATTCTTTGAAGGCTAGAATGTGAAACTGCTAAATTATACTTGATGTTCAGGGTTTTTGACGAACAAAAGAAAAATGGCACAAATTTTCTCTTCACACTAAATATAAGATGGAAATAATAGATCTTGATTTAGATTTTTTAGGAGACTTCAAAAGTTAACTTGACTGTAACACTCATTATAAAGCAGCCTTTCATCAAAACACAATTCTTAACTGGAACTCTAAATCAAGCAAAGGTCAGAGAAAATGCATTTTGTCAGTGAGTAGAATTAAATTTTGCTTTTTTTGATGCTGATCTACTTGAGGCTTTTTTAATCGTAAGAAGTTCAATCAGCTCTAGTTGTTGGTGTGCAGCTGTATTAATCAGTCACTGCAATCTTAGACTTGTTTCTAATTTAATCTTTTTTTTCTTATTGCAATGTTACTTGGGGAATCCTGAAAAAAAGTGGAAGACAAGCATTCCAGTGACACCAGCAGTATGCTCCCACAGAATATTTTGTCTCAAACAAGCAGGCACAATGACAGAGACTACAGACTGCCAAGAGCAGAGACTCACAGTAGTTCTACTCCAGTACAGCATCCCATCAAACCAGTGGTTCATCCAACTGCTACCCCAAGCACTGTTCCTCCTAGTCCATTTTCTCTACAATCTGATCACCAGCCAAAGAAATCCTTTGATGCTAATGGAGCATCTACTTTATCAAAACTGTCTACATCCACATCTTCCATCCCTGCACAGAAAACAGAGAGAAAAGGTATGTCTGATGAAATTCCCTTCAGTATTCAAGATGATGCATCGCATTGCTTGTTTAAAGTATGTTAGTACTAAAATTTAAAGATTTTTTTTTTGCCTCTTTGATTGTATGTGCTTAGAACCTGATTTCTGTTTTGATGTTTTTACTTTCCCCTAGACCCCATTTGCTATATCCTACACAACTTCAAATTGACACTGTATATATTTGCTATATTCTGGCTTATTCTGCAAATTAACATTTCAAATGATAATTTGAAAGATGTGTTTTTGTAGAACATATTTTAATTCTTGTCTTCTCTCTTGTTGTTTTGAATCTTTGCCATTTATTTGAGTTGTTATGTAGTTACACAATTTGAAAGTCATTTTGGACCATTATGTTTTATGAACTGCTGTTACTGTTTGGAATACCAGTGACAAACCTTTCAATCAACACAAGCACAATTCTTACAGGAAGCGAGAGTTTCCTACATGTTTGTAAGAGTTAGTCTGTTTTGGTCGGTAACTTGAGAAATACTGGATCTTCAGTTCTAAATCTGCTGATAATAAGTGTTTATCTGATAATACCTGTTAGATACAGTTAGAGCAAAGCAAAGACCAGGACTTCATTGTGCATTGTTTGTGACCTTTCAGACATCTGTCTTTTAGTTAGATTTACTTCATTATTAGGGCTGAAGAGCTCAAGATTGTGAGAATGAAATGTGTGTCATTAATGATAGTGTGTTACTTTGGTGTAGTTGAGTTTTAGAGAGTGGTATTGTGCAAGAAAATTCAATTTTGAGGGCTTTGGGAGGGAGAAAAGTAATTTTTGATAATCATGTTGTGTTTTAATTTAAAATATTGTATAATTAATATGTAATTCAATTATTTTTTGAATGATGGCTTGTTGCCTTGTCCATACTTGCAAGTTGGCCTTTTTAAATAGTTTTAAAAAGAAGACCAAACAGGCTGTGGTCAGACACTGGTCTTGTACTCTGTTTTCATGTCTTCCACTTTTGTTTATTAAAGACTTCAAACTTCTACACAGACTTTAAAACAGCTGGCCACTCAAAATACTCAAACAATAGCATACACTGACAAATACTGTAAGGCAATTGTGCATGTAAAGCAATTTATGTTTTTTCTTGGCACTTTGTGCAATTTTTACATAACCTGGCTTATGAATACTGACTGTAAACTGCAGAGAAACAAGTTATTTTCCTATTCAACACGATAATGCACGAAGTAAGATGTCCTAGTTCAAGCATCGTTCTTGTACTGAGTTCAGTAGTTACCTGTTTCAGTTAAGCCTCTATTTTCTGATATTAGTTTGATGCACTTGTACACATTACAGTGCAAAACGTCTGTGTCAAGTGTTCTTTCCTTTAGCATATCTACTCCGTTTCCATTTCTCTAGTTAAAATACACTTAAAACCCCTCCTACTATTATTCAGTTCTGGCATGTTCTTGATTCCTGTTTGGTGTGGGATCAGATTTCATACTGGATATTCTTGTGCTGCTTTACTGCACATCTTCATTAATTGAACAGCTGACTCTTACAGCAATTGAAGGAACTTCACATTCTGACAACTGCTACAGATGTTGACAGAGAGTTCTAATACTTCTTACATACAACATTAATTTGAGAACATGCAGCTGGGTATAATATTGAAAACAATCACACAGGGCAGTCTTGATACTGTAAATTTTACTTTAGAATCTCTATTACCATAGATGGTTCCATATTAAATAATTCACTGCATTTCTGTACTCTTAGGTGTTTTTTAAATTTTTATATGGTTTAAATGAATAGATTCTTTGTAATAATCATGCCTCATTGATCTGTTTCATGGCACTTGACTGTGAGCAAATATTGTACTTACTGAGCTTCAGAAAAGAGTGGATTTCAGAAAATTAGTAAATGAAGAATTAGAATAGTTGAATGTTGGGCTTGAAATTCTTACTCTAGAAAATGGGGATTTTTTACATGTTGCTTTACCTCTTGTACAGAAACAGGAGAATTCAGTGCAGGTGCTGTCTTGATAAAAGGACATCAAAGAGTACATTCAGTTGACTTGCCTTTTTCTGAGGAATGTTGGACTGTCTTTTTAAGGAGATTAAACCAGTGAATTTTCTGTAGCATTTTGCATATTTAAACTTTAAAAAAAAGGAAGAAGCAGTGCCTTGGGTGATTTACTGTTACTCATTCTCTCAGAGGTGACTGTGAACCTGCAGTACTAGAAGTATGCAGTTTATAAAGTATTTTTTGTAGCTGTTATACAAATTGAAAATACAATAATTGTCCTGAGACACTTGGTTCAATCTTCTAAAAGTGTCTTTGCAGAACTGAAAATAGTTCAAGACGTTTATGTTTACAGTAGTAAAGCAAATAGCCTTTGATTTTCTTTTTCTGTTCACTGACTGTGCCATCCCTCTCTTTCTAAAAAGAGGTAAAACTGTATTTTTTTGCCTATAAAAATAGGTTGGTCCAAATGACTGAATAATATATACAGTAGTCCTTCCTTAAATGAATTCTTGCTTCTTGTGAATGTGTTGCTGGCTGCCTTATGCTAGCATATATGTACCACTGTTTTAATAGTTCTGATTTCAGTGTGTATTTTTTTAAGCAGTAATAGTTTTGAACAGCAGAACAAGAGCAAAACACAAAACCCAACAACAATGCTTTTTTCAGCTGAATCTCTTTTGCTGCAGGGGTATGTTGTAGTCCCACAAGGAGATTGAATAAAATCCCTGGCTGAACTATAGCTCAGCTGTTAGCAGTAGTCCTCTGCCCTCAATGGCTGGCAGTAGTGGAGAGTTCCTGGGGAACTATTTGACCTCTACCCTTTGGTTTGAATGTTCCAGTCAGAATCTGCTGCTTCTGTTTGTGCTCACTGTGAGTGCTTTATGCAGGTAAAGTGTGGGGTTGCTTTTCCTACTTTTTGGCTGCTTTATCTGTAGGTCACATCACATTTTCCTATTTCTAATTCAGAATGAAATGTTGTATTGTCCATATCTTAACAGTGTGTTTGTCTGTAGGATACTGCTTCTCACACCTTTTCTCCAAGTCCCATCAGGCAGCACTTCTGTTTCTAGTGCAGCAGTACTCTAAAACTTCCATGAGAACACAGCAAGCTGGCCAGTGCAATGCTGGGTGGGTTGTGTTGACTCTGGTGCTTCTTTTCCTTTTCTCACCCCTGTGGTTTTCTTGTAACACTTGCTAGTCTTTAGTGGTCAGTTATTAACATTGCTTCTGGTATTGTTGCATCTTCTTTGGCTGAGTTTTGCAGTTTCAAGTATATTACTCAATTCATTTGTCGGTTAGAAAAAGTTACACATGACGCTGTTAGTTTCTTCCAATACTTTATACTTGGTTGCTGAACATTGCTGTCACATTTATTTTGAGAGCGGAGGTAAAAAAATTCAGTTTTTAGACTGGAGTAGTCCAAATGTGAGAAACAGGGATTTTTTTTTTTTTGTATTTTAGATAATTTGAGGATTTTTGAATATCTAGTTGCTATTGTTAGTATAGTTTCATTTGGTCAAATGTGTTTGCAGAATGCATTGCTTTTCAATATTCATGTGTTTTTGATGTGGCTTACGGTCCTTAGTCGATCAGAACTGTACTACGTAAAACAGATAAACGTGACTGTGAGTGCTCAGAGAGCTCAGTTGGACTGTACACTCCAGGTGCTTCAACACAGAAAATGTGTTATGATTCTTAATCATCAGCAGAAAAAAAGCAATTCTGTTAGCTGTTCTAGGTAGTAGTTTTTTAATCAGTGAAGCAGAGATGAGGCTTATAGGACAACAAGATACAAACTTCTGAAAATTTTATAATGCAGTTTTCCTCCCACTGAGAGTACACATGCCTAATAGTTGCTATCAGTGCAAAGATAACAGCTCAAGCTCACAATAAAGTGGTTGGGTAATATTGTATTGTTGACTCCAAAGGACTTTGGATGCATTTGTTTTGTTTTATGTGGATAAACATTGCATCAATAGTAGAAGCTATTTTGGAACACTCAAAGAGTCATTTTAATAATTTAGGAATCATCTAGTCAACAGTAGTCAATAACTTCCATGTCATTAAAAATAAATCATTGTTGATATAAATCAGAATAAGAGGAAGCTAATATATAGCATTAATTTAAAGCTAGTCTTGCAGGGAGTACTAGTATGTTAGCTGTCAGAAAGAGGGCTGTGAAGGAAAATCCTTCCTTCACAAAAAAGGTATTTCCCAGTTTTGTTCTTTTTTCCGCATCCACTTCTCTGTCATGCTCATGTGCCTGATGTGTTTCATGATGTTTGAGGGCTTCAAGTGCACTTAAGAACTACAGGATTGTATTATTAATAAGCATTTTTAAAAACGCTAGTAAACCAGAAAAATAGTGTTTAGATGTTGGAAAGTAAACTTTATTCTATGGCAGAATAAACAACGAAACAGCCTCTCAGAAAAAAGGAATTGGGGAGGAAAAGAAAGGAGTGAGGAGTTTCTGCTTCTATTTGTGAAAAAAGCAGGGGAAATGCCTACACCCCAGTGAGTGATATCTGAGGGTTTTTGTCAAACAGATATTTTATCTTGAGGACTTCTGAGTAGTTAAATTAACTTCAAAAGGCAAAACTTGCAGGCTCTGTACAGCATCACAAATTAAACCAGGTTTTAACCTTCGTAGTTATGTTATTCAAAAATGGATGTGAAACTGTTTGGAGATTTTGTTTTTGTTAGCAGTATTTCTAGGATTTAGTATCCTGTCTGAGCCATGAAGTAAAATAGATGGGTTTAAATGAAGCTAAAGAAAGTTGCGACTATATACAATTAAGTTGTAGTTTCCATCACAAGGAGTTTCCTTTTTTGGAGAAGAGCTAAAGATCATGGGTTGAGATAAAAACAATTTTCTGGAAACAGCAATGAAATAAGAAATGAACAGTAAAAGCAGCATTATTAAAAGGGTATATAAGAGAGGTGAAAAGTTCCCGTATGAACAAAGGCTCACCACGGGGGAGCCACAATATGGGAACTAC